AGAGAGGGGGGAGAGGGTGTCGTTTGGGGACCTTGTGGCACGTAGTGCACCAGGTCTCTGTATTCGGCCCTTCAAAATGTCTGGATTGTCCTGCACGAAACCTTCATCACTATAATCAAATCTCATGTGCTGTTGTCGGGCTGTCGGTTTCCTGGTCGAATTCGACGGGAGAGTCGAGATATATTATATATATAAATATATATATATATATATATATATATATATATGTGTGTGTGTGTGTGTGTGTGTGTATAGCCGCAGTGAGGAGCTGTGATACAGTGAAACAGTAGTGTGCAAATGACATAATTTAGCTCTTGAAAATATATTTCAATTGACCAATTGTTGAGTGATAAGCAAATTCGATAAACATCACCCACCCGCGCTAATGCAAAGCTCTTTAGTGAAATGAATGGAGCACTGTGGCTGATTGGCATTTGTTTACATTCGTAAAAACAATATGCTAGATTTAGCTGCGAAACTACCGTGTGAAGATAGCTCATTGATAGAAGCTCTCACAGACACCGCATCAGTTAGATTTCGATCCTGGTTTGAGGCATTCGGATGTTTAATCGCGCTGGGGAGCTGTGACTACTGTGAATGGCACACACACATGTACACATATACATATGTATGTATGTTTATATTTATATATACACACTGGCAGTGGTCGCTTAAATGAATTAATCAAGCAACATAATGCTATATTTTTTCTATTCCTCTCAATCCACTCAAGCAAACAAAGCCACTAAGACGAAGCCGGTTACTGAGTATCAATCAATATGAGAAAAAGACAGCATTACGAAGCCGAGAACAGCAATTAAGATGTCAGATGTCAATTAAGAAGTATTTATTTCTCCTTTCATTTCCATTTTTTACTTTTTGTTTTTGAATAAAAGAAAACGAACAAAAAAGGATTCTTTTGTGTCCTTTTTGTTCCTTTTCTTTTATTCTTTCTTTTAAAGTTTTCCATTTTCCTTAGCTTTTTTTCAATCTCTCCCTCTTTTATGACATTTCATCGTTTTTCCTCATCTTTTTTTTCAATCTCTCTTTCTTTTATGACATGTCTTCGTTTTTCCCCATCTTTCTTTCAATCTCACCCTCTTTTATGACATTTCATCGTTTTTCATCGTCTTTTTTTCAATCTCTCCCTCTTTTATGACATCACTTCGTTTTTCATCGTCTTTCTTTCAATCTCTCCCTCTTTTATGACATCACTTCGTTTTTCATCGTCTTTCTTTCAATCCCTGCTTTTTTTCTATTTCTTCGTTTTCCCCTTCTTTCTTTCAATCTCTCTTTCTTTTATGACATCTCATCGTTTTTCCTCAACTTTCTTTCAGTGTCTCTTTTTTATGACATATCTTCGTTTTTCTTCATTTTTTATTCAATCTCTCCTTCTTTTTATGAAACCTCTTCGTTTTTTACTCGTCTTTTCTGAAAATGCGCATGATATATATATATATATATATATATATATATATATATATATATATATATATATATATATATATATATATATTTGTTTGTCTGTTGTCATGTCCGTAAAAAATAATCAAATAAAAATGAATCATAGTGTAACAAATAATTATAATAAAATAATTATACCAATTATTAATACGTGTCACCCGTTCTGAAGCAATGAGAATCAACCTCACTTTTCTTCTGCGGCGTAAACAATGACTTGATACCCTGTTAATCGGACATGCAGTCAACACTGAGTTGAGAAAAGTTTCGGCTCTATTGCGTTACAAGCCACAACGTAAGAAAAGTAACGTTTGTCTCTTTACATCCATAACCAAAATTCTAGGTAAGGGACTTCCAGACACTTTTTTTCTCCAACTATCTAGTTCCTTATATTACACATTATTTAAAAAGAAATACGATATGCCAGGCGTCGGCCACCATTTGCTATGTGCCGACTTAGGGTTTTAAAATCATTCATATCTGTTCTACAATATATTTTATATAGTAATATAATTTAGTATCTGTCTATATTTCTGAGATGAGGTATTATGCACAGTATTTACATTAGTCGGACTATTGTCCTCATCTTTGTCGCCATATTTATCGTACCTTCTTCAGGTGGTTGGAATGTCGAACTGAACCCTTTATTTCGCTCACTGGGGTAGTCTGCTCTACAACGTTTGTTAAAACGTTTCGGCCTTTCAGTATCTGTCTATATTTCTGAAAGAATAATGTAAATAGTGTACATAATACCTCGTTTATATTTCTGAGATGAGGTATTATGTACACTATTTACATTATTCGGACTATTGTCCTCATCTTTGTCGCCATATTTGTCGTACCTTCTTCAGGTGGTTGGAATGTCGAACTGAACCCTTTATTTCGCTCTATTTCGTTCTAGTTCCACGTTTGATGGATGTCAGTTACCAGTTATCTCCTGCTAACTTTCCCTCTGAAAGTTCTCCACTGCCTTAACCGGGTATTGAACTCACCTTTTATACTATAAATACAATATGGGAACCAGTAATAAGGAGTGCAAGAGAAAAGCAATGATAACAAAGTTGCAATATGAACTCTGGTAAAAACATGCAATGATAACAGCAAAACTGCAGTATGAGCACTGGTAAAAAAAAAAATGGTTGCTGAAAACATTAGGTTTATAATACCCAGAAGTTCATGCCTAGATGTCCTCAAGGACACATGGCACAGAGGATAAAGGCGTTGGTTAGATCCAGTGACAGACCCAAAGAATGTGAGTTCAATACCCGGTTAAGGCAGTGGAGAACTTTCTGATAACTGACATCCATCGAACGTGTACTAGAACAGTCTACCTCAGTGATCGAAATAAGGGGTTCAGTTCGAAATTCCAACCACCTGAAAATACAACGGCCGAAACGTTATGACAAATATGGCGACAAAGATGAGGACAATAGTATATATTGAAATTGAAACAGCTGTATATCTTCTTTGTGTTGTAGTAGTTATTGGTTTGGACTTCATGATGTCATTTGCGGCTGTGTTTCCATTGGAAATTATTTGACGCGCCACAGATTGCTGACCCCTGGTTTATAAGGTACATGTGATACTAGGACAGATCAATCACTCAGGTGGCAAATTTCTCAATATTCAATAAGAATACTATTGCCGATAATAGGTTTACAAAATTGTCATTGGGATTTATTACATGTTGTCTGGGTAGGTAGGTGATTTTTGTAGTCAAGATCGGCAACCTTTTGCTAACTATGTGCCTACTTAGGGTTTTAAAATCATTCAGTGTGCCAACAGTATACGTATTTTTATACAAGTCAAGGTCAATATACCTGTTCTACAATATATTTTATATCGTAATATATACAATAATATGTAAACCATATTAATAGAAATAAACTATTTTAAAAGTTTTTTTAAAAAGTTTTTATTATTAATGGGAGTCCAACAAGTGAGCAGTTTTGAAACAGTTAAATATCTTCTTTGTGTTGTAGTAGTTATTGGCTCGGACTTCGTGATGTCATTTGTGGCTGCGTGCCATTGGAAATTGCTTGGCGTGCTACGTGTGGCACGTGTGCTGTAGATTGACGACTCCTGCTATATAATATTTACTCATTTTTTTATCATTCTGTCGAATTCCAAATCTAAATTTGATCCGAACTCACAATTTACTCAGTATTACTGTCTCCCATCTTTCTAACACCACATAAAAATCATTAATAACAATATAATAAATAATACTCATTTTGTTGTTTCCCCATCTTGTTGTTTCCCATTTTCTATCACTATTTGCATGTTGTTATGAATAATAAAGAGTGGTCTCCCCTTGTTTTGTTACTATTCTCTTTGAGCGAGCTATTTCTGTTTACTGGGGCTATAAAAGGACACTATACGCGAATCTTATATTCTCAGTTGAATAAACCTTTCTTAAAGCTTACAGCTGCGTAGTTTTGTCATTAAAAATGTATAAATATTAGCGGGGATATAATTATTTACCCAGAATTATAACTCCCCTACAATCTATATTTGCGTGTGTGGACTTGTGGGCTTATTTTCGATGCATATGAAAGTGTATACATACTTCTGATATTGACAAAATCAGTTTAATTTTGTCAGCGAGTAAAAGTCGTTTCGGAAGAAAGCCTTAAGTCTTTTTTACCAGTTGGTACAGCGTAATCATTACTTTTTCTTGCGAAACAACGTTTCGCTAATGATGCACCCACCCGGTTCTTTTACTTGCAAGTTATTTACAGCAAAGATTCCTTAGCTAAATAACCTCCCACCAGAACCCACATAATCCCCGAAGCCACCATCTAATTTCTTTTAACATTGTATTTTCCTTATGACCTCATCTTCCATTTTCCTTGACCTATGAGTCCTCGATTTCCCTCCCGGCAACCTTAACATTTCTTTATTTTTTTTTTATATCTTTTTGGGGGGAAGTGGCTTGTGAGTAAGGCTGATTAGATTAATTGAGGAAAGACTCAATAAGAGAAATCGAATTGAGTTTTTATTTACCTAAAGCTTGCTTAAAAACCTGGCGCACACTTTACTTGTTTAACCTTCCCTCTTAGAAACCTTAGTTCAATATAGTTCGTTTATTTGTCTACCAGTTTGTTCGCTTCGACCTGCAGATCGATCATTCAGTATCGATGAATTGCTACATTTTATCACTGATATTGTTTTTACTTAATCCCTTTGTTTTCGCGCCTTCATTTACTTTTTTTTTTTTTTTCCTTCCATATCCTCTTGGTCGTCTTCTTTCTTTCCTTTCCTTCTTTCTTTCTTTTCTTTCTTTTCTTTCTTTCTACTTTTCTTTTCTTTCTTTTCTTTCTTTCTACTTTTCTTTTCTTTCTTTTCTTTCTTTTCTATCTTCTTTCCATTTCCAAATAATTCTCTTTGCATTTAGTTCTTTCTCTTTTTCTTCTGTCTCTCTTTCTCGTTGAATTAATTCTACCCCTCCTTGTTTCTTTTCTTATAATTCTTTTTCATTTTCTTTTTCTTTCTCTTTATTTCCCCTTCTTCTTCAACACGTTTTTTTTCTGGTTCGTATGACATTTTCTTTTCTTCTTCTTCTTCTTCTTCTTCTTCTTCTTCTTCTTCTTCTTCTTCTTTGGTTTCTTTTCCTTCTTTTTCAACTTGATCTTTCTGGTTCTTTTAAAGCCATCAGTGTTCTAAATATTTCTTCTTTTTGTTCATTTTTTTTCTTCTTCGGAATGTTTATTTCTCGTTCCTTTGGTATCTTTTTTTTCTTCTTCTTTTCCTTCTTCAGCATGTTTCTTTCCGCTTCCTCCTCCTCCTCTTTCTTGTTTTTCAATCAATATGTTCTTCTTCTTCTTCTTCTTCTTTTTGTTGTTTGCTTATCCGTCTCTGTCTTTTTTTAAAAAAATTTCTTCTCAGTCTTAACGTTTTTTTATTATATATTTTTACTTCTTCTTGGAGGCAAATTTCTTCTGTTGTTTTATTTCTTTTCTCTTTCATACTTTTATTTTCTTCTTCAATTTCTTTACATTTCTTCCTCCTCCTCTTCTTCTTCTTCTTCTTCTTCTTCTTCTTCCTCCTCCTTCTCCTCTTCTTCTTCTTCGTCTTCCTCTTCTTCTTCTTCTTCTTCTTCCTCTTCTTCTTCTTCTTCTTCTTCTTCTTCTTCTTCTTCTTCTTCTTCTTAACAGATTCCTTTCTGTCGTTTTCTTTTGATCGTTCCATTCTATCTTATTTTTATTTTCTTTGCCCCTTTTTCTGTTTTTTTTTAAAAAGGTATCCTTATATTTTTTCTTTTCTTTTCTTTTCTTTCAATTGATAAGCCTGATACAATCAATGAAATACCTACAAAATTGTAGTCTGGCACAAGGCCAAATTATAAAAATTAAAATAATCAAACTCTATTGCTTCATGTCTCATATTTTTACCTTAAAATCGATATTCGAAATTCTGGCATTTAAATAGCATCGCTGGGCCCACAACTATCTCTTTGACTATGCAATCACATTTATAAACACATTTTTGTCACGCACACATTGATGAAACGAAAAATTTGTTTTTTTTTTGTTTTTGTTCTTTTTGTTTTTAATCATTTCACCCCCAGCAAAACTTAAAGCCTACCCCCCTTAGTACTTTTGTCATTAGAATCCCTTTAATACCTCAAAAACAAAACTGCTCTCTATTACTCACCACAGACAACTATCCCTGCGGCCGCCATTAGAATGTCTGACGCTCAACTCCACGAGAGCACCTCTTTGCGACTACTCGGTCTCACATTGACTACTGACCTGAGATGGAACAAATACATTGAGTCAAGGAAAGTTGGCTCCCTGTGCCGCGCCAGGAAATTTTTCTCGACGTAGTCGATCCTTTAACTCTACAAATCAACCATTCGCCCTTGCATGAAGTATTGCTGCCATATATGGTCTGGAACCCCCTCTGTTTGTCACAAGGTTCTTGATAAAATCCAGAGACGGATATGCAATTGGTCCTGATCTGGCATCTCGTCTGCAGTCGCTCTCTCACAGACGTACCGTCGCCTCTCTGTCTTTTTTACAAATACTTTCACGTTAACTACTCCAATGAGCTGCTTTCGCTGGTTCCCAGACTTCATGAATTTAAGCGTTCAACTAGGCTGGCATCTCGCTCTCACCATTTCACTGTCGAAACTGTTAAATGTATCCGTCTCTTCTACTCCAATAGCTTCATGTCTTGCACTTCTCGCCTGTGGGACTCCCTCTCCTTTTCTTGTTTCCCTGATAGCTATAATCTCCAACTATTCAAATGTAATGTCAATCGACGTCTCCAGGTGCCTATCCTTCTCTTCATCCTTTCCTCTATCACTCTTATTTGCTCTAGCTCCAACTCTCTGTAACCCCTTGCGTGCTAGTGGCTTCCCGTTTTTCTTGGGGTGAAACGTTTGAAAAATGCATGTCAACAAATTTTAATATTACATCATTCTGGATATCCCTAAAGGGTGAATTTCCAAATATTGCTAAAAAAGCAATACAAATGCGTATTCAGTCCTCAACGTAATATTTGTGCGGGGGGGGGTCTGCTTTTCAGCAATGAACAATATGTAATGACAAAAGTTCGCAGGTGTAGGCTTTAAGAAAGCTTTATTCAATTGAGAATACAAGATTCGCGTATAGTGTCCTTTTATAGTCCCAGTAAACTGAAATAGCTCTCTGAAAGAGGAGAGTAACGAAACAAAGGGAGACGACTCTTGATTATTCATAACACGATATTAAAAAAAAAATTGATCACAGCTGGAATCCTTAGAAGAATATTGAAGATTACAAAACTTGATTATGCAAAGATATTCCACAGAAAACATCAGTTCAGATATATCATTAAATGTTAAATTATATGAAAATGAAAAAAGAAATAACTCTAACTTCCTTAAAGAATGTTAATTATATTTTTAATTCAAATTATAATAAATTGTTTTATTTCTGTTAATAAATAAATCATAAAAAGCATAAGTTTTTTTTTACTCTTATTTTGACCATCATAATTTAAGCGCGCTGCCGATGATTATTTTGACCATCATAATTTAAGCGCGCTGGGGACAATTAACTGGAGGTTTAAGTGTGTCTTGGAAGTTCAATTAGAGGTTCACATGCGCCGGTAAAGTTTAACCCTCTGATCCCTGACCATCGCTTTACCAGTGGTAAGGAAAAATTATGTAATGCCCAGCCACCAGTTGAACAGTAGTAGAGAAAAATGACAATGCCCAGCTACTGACTGAACGGTGGGTAAACACTTGTAACTATTTTTATATCTACCGTGAAACATTACATACTAATTATTTGCGAATTTTGACTCAGGAGCTCAGGCAGAAGGGTTCAAATTGTTGAGGAACGCAGGGCTGAAAGCGTTAAAGAGACACGAATTTTTACTATTGTTTTTTTTATATATTGAATTAATAAAACCATCCTTATTGTTATGTGATAGTCCAAGGTAGAATCAATAAAGAAGAACTCGAACACAGGTATGGAATAACACAGATATATTACAAACAGGAATATATACAGAGAAGTAGAAGTGTTAGTATGAACAATCAGGTTTAGTAGAGAGAACAATGTAGTCTCGACCAGTATCAATATTCCAATGTCTTGCAGTAATTGTCTGAACACGACTCTGTTTTCGGACTGCCTCTGACTCGACTCTTGACTCGACTTGAACTACTGACGATATTCAGTCACCCACCCACGAGGGCGTCATGTGGCACAAGGCCTTTTTAATGTGGGAACTCTGAGCCCTTGGGCTAGGCTAAAAATATGCCCATTGAACACGTATAAATGGGTTCAGGGTCGGTTTACCTTCCCGAAAGAGAATCCGCCCTTCGGCGTAGCCTCCTTCGGGTTCCTCCCCGTCCAAAGGCGGAGAGTTCAACCGAACAGTCGATTCAGAAGTGAATTACTGACTTACCCCTTGCCTACTCCTGAGGCGCAGTATTTATTAAGTATGGAATAGTCCATTATTATTATTGTGGGTAAGATCCCATAACACTTATTTACATAAACATGGACATCCAGCAAATCATTTTAGAACGAAATATCATATTTTTTAAAACACCTATTTTATATCTGTGTGGATAGTCACTTATATAATTAAACCTTTCACCCCTGACCAGTGCTTTCCTGGTGGTAGAGAAAAATAACTTAATATACAGCCACAGGTTGAAAGGCGGGTGAACACTTGTAACTATTTTTATATCTACCGTAAAACATTACATGCCAATTATTTGCGAATTTTGAGTCAGGAGCTCAGGCAGAAGGGTTAAAATTGTTCAGGAACGCAAGGGTTAAAATAGGCTCAAGCATATGATCAAGTGTGTCCAGTGTATTTAACTGCAGGTTCAAGTGTGGTTCGTGTGTTTAACTATAAGTTCAAGTATGCCTTGGATGTTTAACTGAAGTGTGTCTCGGGTGTTCAAATCTGCCTCGGAAATCTATCTATACGTTCAAGTGTACTTCAGAAGTTTAACTCTAGGTCCAAGTGTTCCATGAGATAAAATATTACTCATTCTCTATTTAGTCGTACCTGTCTACCATATGAGGTATCCTTAGACATTTGTTTAGAATGTTGTTCGACTTGCACAAGGCCCGGGAAGACCTTGAGTTAGAGTTTTACCGAGGTTGCTTTTTTGAAAGTAAAAAAGAAGCAAGCAACTTTAGAAATATCAGTTTTATTTTTTCATGAGGCTAGGAGTGAGTTATCTCCCTTAGGCTAAATTACAGTTCAAAGGGAAATGAATCACTTATTCTGTCGGAGTTTAGCATCTCACACAAGAATGAACCTCATATATTATTCAACTCGGCCATCTTGCCTTCTTTTTATTTTGCATGATGTTAGCGGCGGGAAACATTGTTTATTGCATTAACCTTTGAATATAGCTTCGTTTAACTAAAGTCTAAATTTGTCAGCGTGAAAAAGTATCGACTTCTGTTTGCTTTTCAAGACAGACTCGTGTCGTACGATTCACAAGTAACTATTTCAGCATGTGTTCTTGATTACTTCTAATTATATTATTGCTTACAAGTGGAATACAAATTGAACAACGAACAGAAAGAAAATAAAAAGAACAATATATTGTTCGCTTTCTTTCTCATACAACTTTAATCGGACTGTCAGTAACGATGCAACGGCGTGGAAAGTGTATTCGGCGTGTCGAGTTCAATTCCCGTTCGTGTGTACAAGGTTCACCTCTAGTTGAAGCTCTTCATTTTAATCTATCTTGGTCAAAACACACAACTCAGATAGATAGATAGATAGATAGATAGATAGATTTGAATATATAAATTGATAGATAGACCAATAGATAGATAAAAAGATAAATAGATAGATAATGAACAGACTGAGATAGATAGATAGATAATGAACAGATTGAGATAGATAGACAGATAATGAACAGACTGAGATAGATAGATAGATAGATAATGAACAGATTGAGATAGATAGACAGATAATGAACAGACTGAGATAGATAGATAATGAACGTACTGAGATAGATAATGAACAGATTGAGATAGATAGATGAATAGGTAAATAGACAGATAATGAACAGACTGAGATAGATAGATAGATAGATAGATAGATAGATAGATAGATAGATATGAAAAGGACTGAGATAGATAGATAGATAGATAGATAGATAGATAATGAACAGACTGAGATAGATAAATACAAGCATACTGAGATAGATAGATAGATAGGAACAGACTGAGATAGATAGATAGATAAATATATAGATAGATATGAACAGACTGAAATAGATACGAACATACTGAGATAGATAGATAGATAGATAGATAGATAATGAACAGACTGAGATAGATAGATAGATAGATAGATAGATAATGAACAGACTGAGATAGATAGATAGATAGATAGATAGATAGATAATGAACAGACTGAGATAGATAGATAGATAGATAGATAGATAGATAATGAACAGACTGAGATAGATAAATACAAGCATACTGAGATAGATAGATAGATAGGAACAGACTGAGATAGATAGATAGATAAATATATAGATAGATATGAACAGACTGAGATAGATACGAACATACTGAGATAGATAGATAGATAGATAGATAGATACTAACAGACTGAGATAGATAGATATATAGATAGGTATGAACAGACAGATAGATACGAACTGACAGAGATAGATAATGAACAGACTATTGAAACTACACCTTCTTTTACAAAATAACTCTGTATTATATTTCATCCTTTCACATATCGAAGATTTTAAATATTCCGATCATTGACACAATTAACTTGGAAAGAGTCAGACTCAGTTAATTTCTGGATGTCTTTATGTTACGAGGTTGATTTGGGGTTAGTAGAAACAAACGCCAAATAACACGTAACAATAAAAAGGGTTTTAATAGGTTGGTAAAAAGGTACAGAAATCGCCTGAGTAGTCAATAACTAGCTCAACTAAGAACTTCTCGGTCTGTCTTCCCCCCATGTCAACTGACATGCCACTATTTAAAGTCTTTGTTCATAGACACAGACAAGTTCATCTTCAAGAGGGGTGGTAGGTTTCCGACACAACACTTTAAATATTTGTTCGTCAGCGTATTACACTTTCGTAAACCATTCTGCTAAACAAAGAAATGACTTCTTAATCAATGAGATCAAAGGAAAGCGATTTAACACGCACAATATTGGAAGGAAATGTGTAATATTAGATTAACTTTATCTGCAAATGTTTCAGTCTTTGGGAATGGAATGAACGCCGGTTTGTTTCGACTGAAAATTCCATGCTTTTTGCTCCTTTTCGTTGAGTACATATGTCTGGTGTCCATTTTGTACAATTAAACGGTACCGTATACCAAAAAAAACAAAAAAAAACATGTCTGATTTAACCAATTAGACAACGAAACATTTCAAAACTACGTACGTTTTTTCCTACTTGCTCCTTCTTTCATCATTTTGTCGGAGTTAATCAATATTTTTAATACGCACGCACGCACGCACGCAAACACACACACACACGCGCACACGCGCACATACACACGCGCGTGCGAACACACACACACAAAGGCACACCCACAAACGCAAAAAACACCCACACGCACGCACGCACACGCACACACGCATACGCACACACACACACACAGATGCACACAAACATCCACACGCACAAACACAGACAAACAGACACACACACAAACGCACGCGCGCGCACACAGACACAGGCAGACACACACATACACCCGGGGGCACTTCGATGTGGTGTAATGATTAGCAAACTTGTCTCGCTAGATCATTTACAACTGAGTGGTGAGTTTGATACTCACTGAGTGCTCCATACTGTCGGTCTTGTGCCACATCTAAGATACGCTTAGTAAATCCCGATTGGGGAATTCAATGTGGTTATCTCCCTACAACCATTACGATTGAATAATGAGTTCCTACCTTATTGGGTGCTCCATACATTTGGACTTGTGCCAGATCTAAGTTACTCTTAGTAAATGACCACACACACACACCATCGCTCCTGTCCAAACGTACACATAGAAGAACACACACATAGGAACATACATCAATACACACACACAGGCATATATATACGAATACACATATATGCATACATTCACAGTGACACACTCAAATACATATGACGTTCGATAAAAGTGGCGCTACAAAATCACAAACTTTACGAAATAACGAAACATCTAACATGAGGACTACCAACAACTGCAACAACTAAAACGAACCACAATAATCCTTACACTAAATAAAATATTCATATAATTCTTACAACAACCACAGTAATACCTGGTTGTCTCTATGAAGTCCTCACTAATCGCCATATTTGTACAATTGCCACAGAGTTTACGTCTCTGGACACCTAACGGGGAGAGGTGAGGGGGGAATTAGACTAAAGATACTAGACTAAAGATACTAGACTAAAGGGCTCGGTCAATGGATGCCGAATGTTTCATTAAAGAAACGGCTAATATTACCATTAGAGATAAAGGGAGTGAAGAAAAGCGTAAAGAGTAGCACTGTCTGCTCGGTCAATGGATGCCGAATGTTTCATTATAAGGAAACGGCTAATATTACCATTAGAGATGAGGACTTTGATCCCAACAGGGAGTGAGATAAAGAGTAGCACTGGCTGCTTTGATCCCAGCCCGATGGATCCCAGCCCGGGAGGGAGTGAAGAAAAGCGTAAAGAGTAGCACTGGCTGCTCGGTCAATGGATGCCGAATGTTTCATTATAAAGAAACGGCTAATATTACCATTAGAGATGAGGAGAACAGATACAACACTTTGAACCCAGCCCGATGGCCAGGGAGTGAAGAAAAGCGTAAAAGAGTAGCACTGGCTGCTCGGTCAATGGATGCCGAATGTTTCATTATAAAGAAACTGAAGAAAAATAATATTACCATTAGAGATGAGGAGAACAGATACTACACCTTTGAACCCACCTGATGGCCAGGAGTGAAGAAAACGTAAAGAGTAGCACTGGCTGCTCGGTCAATGAATACCGAATGTTTCATTATAAAGAAACGGCTAATATTACCATTAGAAATGAGGAGAACAGATACTACTTTGAACCCAGCCCGATGGCCAGGGAGTGAAGAAAAAAGAGTAGCACTGGCTGCTCGGTCAATGGATGCCGAATGTTTCATTATAAAGAAACGGCTAATATTACCATTAGAGATGAGGAGAACAGATACTACACTTTGAACCCAGCCCGATGGCCAAAGAGTGAAGAAAAGCGTAAAAGAGTAGCACTGGCTGTTTCGGTCAATGAATGCCGAATGTTTCATTATAAAGGAAACAGCTAATATTACCATTAGAGATGAGGAGAACAGATACTACACTTTTTGAACCCAGCCTGATCGCCAATGGGAATGTTTCATTATAAGAAAAGCTAATATTAAAGAGATAGCACTTTGAACCCAGCTTTTTTGATTTAATGAATGCGAATGAATGTTTCATTATAAAGAAACGGCTAATATTACCATTAGAGATGAGGAGAACAGATACTACACTTTGAACCCAGCCCGATGGCCGATGGCGTAAAAGTAAACTGGCTGCTCGGAATGAATGCCGAATGTTTTATTATAAAAACGGCTAATATTACCATTAGAGATGAGGAGAACAGATATTTTACTTTGAAAAGTAAAGAGTAGCACACTGGTCAATGCTCGAATGTTTTGTTTTGGATGCCGAATATTTCATTATGAGGAAACAGATACTAACTTTTGATCCCAGCCCATTAGAAGAAAACGTAAAGAGTAGAACTGGCTGCTCGGTCAGATGCCGAATGTTTCATTATAAGGAAACGGCTAATATTACCATTTGAGGACCCAGCCCTTTGATCAGCCCGATGGGGAGTGAAGAAAAGCGTAAAGAGTAGCACTGGCTGCTTGGTGAATGAATACCGAATGTTTCATTATAAAGAAACGGCTAATATTACCATTAGAGATGAGGAGAACAGATACTACACTTTGAACCCAGATGGCCAGGGAGAAAACAGATACGGTGAATGAATGCCGAACTTTAAAGAAACGGCTAATATTACCATTAGAGATCATACAGGGACTTTGTGAAGAAAAACGTAAAGAGTAGCACTGGCTGCTCGGTCAATGAATGCCGAATGTTTCATTATAAAGAAACGGCTAATATTACCATTAGAGATGAGGAGAACAGATACTACACTTTGATCCCAGCCCGATGGCCAGGGAGTGAAGAAAAGCGTAAAGAGTAGCACTGGCTGCTCGGTCAATGGATGCCGAATGTTTCATTATAAAGAAACGGCTAATATTACCATTAGAGATGAGGAGAACAGATACTACACTTTGAACCCAGCCCGATGGCCAAAGAGTGAAGAAAAGCGTAAAGAGTAGCACTGGCTGCTCGGCCAATGAATGCCGAATGTTTCATTATAAAGAAACGGCTAATATTACCATTAGAGATGAGGAGAACAGATACTACACCTTGAACCCAGCCCGATGGCCAAAGAGTGAAGAAAAGCGTAAAGAGTAGAACTGGCTGCTCGGTCAATGGATGCCGAATGTTTCATTATAAGGAAACGGCTAATATTACCATTAGAGATGAGGAGAACAGATACTACACTTTGATCCCAGCCCGATGGCCAGGGAGTGAAGAAAAGCGTAAAGAGTAGCACTGGCTGCTCGGTCAATGGATGCCGAATGTTTCATTATAAAGAAACGGCTAATATTACCATTAGAGTTGAGGAGAACAGATACTGAACCCAGCCCACTTTAGACTGGCTGCTCGGTCCAGCCCGATGGAAACGGCTAATATTACCATTAGAGATGAGGGAACAGATACTACACTTTGATCCCAGCCCGATGGCCAAAGCGAAAAAGCGTAAAGAGTAGCACTGGCTGCTCGGTCAATGAATGCCGAATGTTTCATTATAAGGAAACGGCTAATATTACCATTAGAGATGAGGAGAACAGATACTACACTTTGATCCCAGCCCGATGGCCAGGGAGTGAAGAAAAACGTAAAGAGTAGCACTGGCTGCTCGGTCAATGGATGCCGAATGTTTCATTATAAGGAAACGGCTAATATTACCATTAGAGATGAGGAGAACAGATACTACACTTTGAACCCAGCCCGATGCCAGGGGTGAAGAAAACGTAAAGTGTAGCACTGGCTGCTCGGTCAATGGATGCCGAATGTTTCATTATAAGGAAACGACTAATATTACCATTATTATTGGTAAAAAGTCATGTTGAATAATTAATATTTGTTGTTTTTGTATAAATTATTCCCTTCTTCATTAACCCCCAGAAGTATCGATTTACCTACGTTTATAATTGCTTTTGCGCCATTCTGCTTTTGCGTTTACGTACATATATTCCCAATTTTCCATTTAGAATTATTTTTTCGTGTTGCCATGGTCTTCGAGAAATCTTACTTCATCGGGACATAAATAGAGAGAAAAAAATGATAGAACATAGGGAGATTGCCTTTTATTTCAATGGTGTTAATTTTGTGAGTGATCCACACATTCTCGAAAATGGTCCGTAATCGGTCTGCTATTTTCGTTCCAGCAGAGTATAATCCTCTCTTCCTGAAAGGCATAAAAGAAAACTTAATGGTTGGAGATTAAAAAAATATAAACGTTTTAAATACCTGAAATAGTTGCAGAAGATCTGATCCTAGTTTTGGAACAGCAATAGAAGCATTTCGTTACGTTACGTTGCATTTTTCTTTTAAGCAAATTTGTAG